AAGTAATATAGTAAACAATTTTGATAAAAAAGAAGAAAATAAAAAAAGAGAAGAAAAGTTACACAATAAAAAACCTCTTTTTTAACTTTATTTCACTGACTACTCATTTAAATGTTTATCAGTAGTATTTTGATAAATTTGTATATTCATTATTTGATTAGAAATTTGTAAAAGATTATAAATTCGTTGAGTTAAACGATATGTCAATATCCAATGGTTTGTTGCCATGGTAACTTGTTTATTATGATGTAATTGTTGTTTTAATTTATGAATTATATGTTTGATTAACATCATATGAATTGTATATTTTAATAATTCAAATGATTTAGTATAAGAATCATTTAAGAGACCTGAAAGTTATGAGAGAAAAGAAAGTGAGATGAATGATAATTTATGATGATTTATGTAATATATACAACACGAAACAAGAAGTACTAGTCTAAGTATTAGACTTTGTATCGAAACCATGGTGTTAGGATCTTATAGTAAAAGTATCTCAACTTTAAATCATTCAATCGTTATCTAATATTTGATAATTCTGGTTTCAGTCAACTCATGGGGTCAAAAGTCAGGTAACTACGAAATGCTCAACAGCTTACAGAACTACGCCGAACCCAAGTGCTCCAGATGGGAAATCCCATACTGAAGCGATGTTCGGGAGAAGCATCCGAACTATATTCGACGCAATGTTACCACGTAAACTAATGGATGGACGCAGAAAAAAACAGAATATTCGTAGTTTTAACGTCGGTGATAAAGTGCTCGTCAAATCATACATTGGGAAAAATCGTTGGGAACCTGGAGTCATTGAGAAGAGAATGGAGAATGTTTTATACAAAGTGCGTGGGACTTTCGGAATGTGGATTAGACACATTAATCAAATACACAGAGAGAAAAGGACTCTAGACAGGGTAGATAGTCAAGTGAGGCTCCCGATAGATATAATTGCAGATACTCCAATGAAAGGAAACCCAACAGACACTCAGACGCTGGATAACAAGAAAGTCCGAACGCCGCAGGAAACCAGTTATCAAGCTGCAAGTAGACCCGAAGAAGAGGTCTTATTTTTTTAAAAGAGGGAGGTGTTGGGGGTGATCCAGAAAACTTCTTGCAAAAGACAAGATAGGATCAGGAAACACTAAGAAGCGTTTCCTCCAATCAGCGTTCACTTCAAGTTTTAGCCAGAAACATCAAGGGGGAGAAACGCCACATGCATAGGTTCTGATTGGCTGATTACGATACTGCTACTATGTTTAGTAGCATTCCAGAATCTTCTAGCAGCCCAAGGACATTTAAAAGATTATAAAAACCCTGTATTTTCTGTGTTGGAACGAACCTCGGAGTAAAGTGCTTCTCGCATAACTTGCGTCTTCTCTCTCGTAGTTCAGGTCGCTGTATAGTCCTAGCTTGAGGGTTACATAATAGCTTAGGGAACGAATATAGCGTTTAATTTGCAAAACTTATCAATTGTGAAGCAGTCTTTCAGTACTGTTGATAGGCAACTTCTTTACATCTGATATTGTTGAATTTTAATGGTGATGGCTGGGTGTAGGACCTAATAGTCTTAGGTTTTAATCCCTGTAGCCTTTTATTTTATTTGAACACAAATATTGGTACAAAGGGGCACCAAATACATATGCGCCACACAGATCTCATTTGATTTGTGTGAGGGCTGTGATACTACCCGGTTGCCTAAACCGAAGCAGGTAGTTTTCTTAGAGGGCCACACCCGGCGGCTTCGACCTACAGGTCTGACCCACAAGACAGCGGAAAATCGTCAGGAGATGCATTTTCATGGAAGTCAGTGACCAACAATTGGTTCATACGCCATTCGTTCCCTTAAGATACTGGAGCCCATGTGCACCATCTGTTTGGAATGAGGGTTTTCTACCTCTCCTAGGTGGACTCTCCATGTCCACCAACCCAGTTAAAGCTCCGGACATGCGCTTTTCGTCCTCTCAATTTCGTAGAAAACACCTCCGCCACGAGAAGGCAGTGAGTAGGACTTCCCTGGCAGAGGCTATATACGCGTGGTCATGCGAGAGTATTTCGAGAGGGTGAGCGGACTCTCCCCACTCTCGGCCGTACCAGGGCATTTGGGGGCTTGTGAATGATCATTTCTGAATTACTCAAAATAGGATAAGATAGCTATACAGTAATTTATGTCTTTCAATCGTCTTCTAAAACTATTTCTTGATATAAACCATAAAATCAATAATATTGTAATCAGGGTTTGTATTTTCCTGAATTCTGATCAGTTATTGTTATTAAAAGTATATCTTGAATGAATGCCTCAATATTAAATATAATATTACAAGTCTTCGGATATTTTTTACATCGTGGTTAGCCAAAGAATTCAAGATACGAACGTTTTCCGAGTTGAAACTTTACTTAAATATGCATACCCCCCCCCATATCTCGATGTTCATACTTAGATTCTAGTCTAGTGATCAGCTCTATAAACTTCAAAATGGAATCCACCAAACCATTGGGTTAAAATAGATTATAATTTGTGTAACATTTATGATATTATATACAAAGATGGATAATGGCTATTAGTGGAATCCAGAACGTGCGTTTCGTCCTATTTGGGACTCGTCAGCTGGATGTGCCTACATCTCGGATTTGGTGATCACTCTGAGGTTCGAGTTCAGTACCGTTCGCTTCAAATGCTATCGCATTATCCATTTAGCTACTGAGTTCTAATAGCCACTTGCTTGTGAAATGTGGTGAAGTTTAAATTCACTTGGTAAAGAGACTGATCAATTGTAGTCCTAAAAATTAGTGGGGAGGTTGAAATAAACAATACCAATTGAATGTATATATTTATAGTTGGATTCATGAGTCAAATGAAGTTAGACCACCATGGATAACCTGAAAGCACTGGACAGCCGTTTCGTCCTAGTATGAGACTACTCAGCAGTGCGCATCCACATATATAGAAAAAGTGAATAAACTTGAAGGTTCTCAGAAAGAATGTAATCAACATTAATTGGTAGTTTTCTATGAGATTTGATTTGAAGAGGACATTTGCTATATCCAGACGAAGAATAAGTGAATGGTAACTTTTTGATTGAGATCATGAACCGATTGATGTTAGGCCACCATCGAAAACCTGTAAGCACTGGAGAGCCGTTTCTTCCTATTGTGGGACTCCTCAGCACTGCTGATCTCAATCAAAAACTTAACAATCTCCACAACCCCTAAACTGAATGGTAACTGTTAGGATCTATTTATGGACTATTGTTACATATATTTCTATTGGATAACTATTAAGTAACCAGATTTTCTGTATATTCATATTCCTTTTATTATAAATTTCCGTTTGACCCATTAGCTACTGAGATATGATTTACAATTCTAAAGTTATTCCCAATTTATTAGTAATAGTCTTTCAAAATGCTGATCGGCGGCCTATGCTCCATTGGGGGTAACAGGTGCCAGTAAGTGAGTAAGTAAGTCTCACAATCACAGCCACTTTTTGGCTTGATCTTGTATAATTGTTATTTCCTACTTTATGGTATGATGCAGTCTGATTTGGTTTATATATAAACCAAGTATGTCTGAAATATGTGATTCTTAAAGGGAGGCTGATATAATGTTCTACTCTAAACTGGCTGGGTTAGACAGGGAGCTATTATCTCGGAGGACCAATAAGAACTCAAAGTTGATTCTAGGCTGTTCGTACTGATTTATGAATCATTGGCCTGGTCAATAAGTCGGTGTTCTAATTGGAGATTCAGTTACATGATATATTCTCAAGCTTTAAGGACATAACAACGATATTCCAGTAAAGTATTTTGTTAGCTCATTTCAACTCGCTACTTTAACATTCCTTTTTTCATTCTTAAGACCTTCTATTCAGGGTTTCTGAATTATATTGTCTACTTAGTGTTTATCTCATGAAATGACTTTAGTTAGAGAAGAATTCTTCAATTTGAAAGATGAAAGTGGGATTATTAAAGGGTAACTAAATCTGATATTAGATTGTTTTCACTAGTGATAATTAGTTAGAATGCTTATGAGTGGCCTATGCTTTTTCATGAGGGGTAACAGGCGTAATCCGTCAATCAATCACCTATAACGTAGGACCAGGCACATATATGCATCGATTCAATTTGCCACAACTCATTAACACAGCATGATGAACAACGAATTCATAGAAGTAGTAACTTTAATGGTAGTAATATATAAAAGAAGGGTTGTGTATAAGAATATAATACAGGAAGAGAGAATTAGTTGATAGAAATAAAGATATAAAGCAGTTTTAATCTCATAGTTTAAGGGGAAACAGAGAGCATATACACCTATGCCATTATGATCGATTCTGAACCAGGTCATCCAAAGTTCCCAACCATTGGTTACGATAGTCATGTGGACCCCAACCAAGTAGTCTATATCTACGACATAGCTAAGGCTAAAAGTTAATTACTTCCAGCACTGATTACTGATCACAATTGAATGATCACTGGGTGGTGATCAATGTCATGTGTGTCAAGTCCTTATTTAGTGCAGATCGAATGGTATCGATCATGTTGCAATGTGGCCACCAGTCTAGATGACTCGACACTGCGTGCACTACATATTGAGATTAGATGATGGTTGGAGGTAGTCGACAGGAAACCCTGGACTCATCTCAGTCCTACAGTAGGTTGCTCGCGGCCCGGATAGCTCAGTGGTAACGTCTCTGACTGTGAAGATGGTTGACATGGGATCGAATCCGCTAGGGAGCACCGGTTCCCTCAAGATTACAGATACACCTTGCTGACGAGTGCCGAGTAGCACGAAACGCGGGTCCAGGGTTTCCTGTCGACTGCCTCCAACCACCATCTAACTGATTATTGATCCACAATGTATAATTGATTACATAACTATCATCATCCTATCCTATTGAAATCAATCTCCAGTTTCATAGTTGTCATGACTATCTCTAAATATTGATTTATTCACAAAAATGTTTTTAAAAAAGTTATAAACAAACACTTATATAGTTAACTTACTTGAATTTAACAGAATGAAACATCGCATACATCCCCATTCAAATGAATCGATATTATGTCTTTTTATACTACTAATTAGTAGTAACAAATTACTATGATTATTATTTTTATTATGAACTATGTAATTATTATTATTATTATTCCAGTTTGAACTACCACTATGGTTACTAATACTACTACTACTACTACTCCATAATTCATTTGTATCAGTTGACTTCTGTTCTAGACCAGTTTCAATTTGGCTTATATCGAAACTGGTAATGGATCGGTTACTAGTTAACCGACTTGATGTGATCGGTGATGGTTTGTAATATTTGGAAATATCATGTTGTTGTTGTCGTCGTTGCCGTTGTTCTTGTTGTTGTTGTTGTTGTTGAAGATGATCATGATGAGGAGGAGGAGGAGGTGGATGATGGTGATGATGATGAGAGGGACGAGAAGGATGACGATGAATGGAGTAGATTAAAGATTTAATCTGTTCAATTATAATCTCTTCATTTTGATTATTATGAATTGACTAGAATATAGAAGTAATTAGGAATAAAAAAACAATTACAGATTCATTTGTATGAAGCAGTAATTATCAAAGTATTTACAGGTGAATCTGATATTCAATTGTAAATAACATGAAAGTCTTTAAATGTATGTGCATTAGTCCAAGTACCTACACCACATCAACAAAGTAAACTACGAAATCATCAAGACAATATATTATAGTATTACTGGAAGTACTAACAGTATCAGTGGTATTGGTAATTGTAGAAAAGTATGACATGAGACTATCATTTATGGATGAACTGATCAGGTATAAGATAAAAAGGCGCGAAATCCATTCATCCATTTAGATAAATAAAGTTTTGGCATTATAGCTGAGAGAAAAAACCCAATCCCAGAGGAGGAAGAAGCACTGGAAGCGGATAGGTTACACATTGAGGAAAGCACACAAGACAATCTCTCACTTGGGATCCTCAAGGCCAAAAGTGAAGAGGAAGACCAATGAATACATTACGCTGAGAAATGAAGACAGACATGAGAAGAATGAACAACAATTGTATAAAACAAGAAAGGAAGGCGCAGGACAGAATAGGTTGGAGAATGCTGATCGGTGGCCTATACTCGATTGCGGGTAACAGGCTCAAGTAAATAAGTAAGTGAGTATTCGGCTCGATCTTGTACACTGGAAATTTCGGGCGGAGGATTGAAACAAGAAATGTATCAACCATTTTGACGTCATTACTCAATGAGTTAGACAATTTTTCTATTCATATTCACTACAAAACTATAATCAACCTCAAACCCTTATAAAAGAGAAGAATTGAGCTGTGAGATTAATAACCCTACTGATATATATATATATATATATATATATATAACTCCACGTGGATCCCCTCTGGGGATAAAGGAGAAGGGTTGGAAATGGAATTATTGACCCCATCCCATAGAAAACTAACCCATTAGAAAACGCTAACCAGATATATAAATTATTTTTTTTAAAAAGGAACGGTAACATGGGAAATTTTATTGATTTATATCCCAAATCATCATCATCATAATCATCGATTGAATACATAGTTACTAAAAAAAATGAACCATAAATAAACAATACTTGAAATCAATTAAATAAATCTTTATTCAATTTAATTAAACAATGAAACACATTTTTGTGTATCATAAAAATAAATTCATCCATAGTAAATAGGTGATTTCAAAGTCAATGAATGAATCTTATACCAGATGGTTCCTTTTGCTTTATATATTAACCAATGATGTCATGGTAACCACACACGCACATATATAGAAACAGAGAGAGATAAATCCATTAAAAGTTACATACATGTTTACATATTGAATATTCACGTGTATGACACATAATTTGTTTACTAATCAAAACTATAATTCCTAAGATGCTGTTTCTCTCCACCACCACCACCACCACCAGCTACATCACCATCCCCTGTAATCATTATCACTTAATAACTACAATATGTAGATATGATTCTTTACTTTTTTTTCTCTGTTTTACTACCAAAAATAAAATAAATTTTATCATTCAAGAAAAAATGCGAAATCTGTGGAAATGTTTACTGTTAACAACAACAACAACAACAACAACAAACAGTAATTTGTTGCCAAGCCTTGTTGATATGTGAAATGTTTTGTTGAATCTTTTAAATTGAAATTTTCTTTTAAATATCCTTGATCCTGTCATAGTGTTTCAGATTTATGATGATTATGATGATGATGATGATTATAATAAAGATGAACTGATAAAGATTTTAATATCAGAAGGGATTTCCTGGAGAGTTTTGGAAATTTCACTGATTGAAATCATGAGTCAATTGAAGCTAGACCACTATGGAAAACCTGGAAGAACTGGACGGCTGTTTCGTCCTAGTATGGGACTCCTCAGCAGTGTATGGTGGCGCAAATTTGTGGATTGGTTGAAGCTAGACATTAACACTGTTGGATATCGGCCGGATCAGTGGTCAAGTTGGTTAAGCGCCTGGCGCGAGACTGATAGATCCTGGGTTCGAGTCTCGCGGGGTGCGTGATCGTGTGTGCGCACTGCCGAGGAGTCCCACAATAGGACGAAACGGTCGTCCAGTGCTTCCAGGTTTTCCATGGTGGTCTAGCGTCAATTGACTCATGATTTCAATCAGTGAAATTTTAGTAGTCAAATTCATAAATTAATGTAAGTTAGGTTACCATTAAAAACCTAGAAGCACTGGATGACTGTTTTGTCTTAGTATAAGACTCGAATCCAGGACCTTCAGTTAGAGTACTGTGTGGGGTTCGTGGATACGCAATGTTAAGGTGTTCCATATTAGGATGAAATGGTCGTCAAGTACTTCCAGGTTTTTAATGGTGGTCTAGTTTAGATCAATTCATGAATTCAATTATTAAAATTACTACAATCTCAACAAACCCCCATTTTAATGGTTAAGTAGTGTGTCCTTGATGTACATACCATTCTGAAAGCATTTGATAACGTGTATAGGACAATACTATGGAGGCTTCTCTGACACCACGGCGTGCCTCAGAAGATAGTCAATATCATACAGAATTCGCATGGTAGATTAAACTGCAAAATCGTAAATGGAGGACAGCTGACAGACAAGACAAGGTTGCTTACTCTCACCCCTTCTCTTCCTCTTGATGATCGACTGGATCGTAAAGACTTCAACATCTGGGGGGAGCACGAGGTGCAGTGGACAATTAAGGTGCAGCTGGATGATCTAGACTTCACAGATGATCTGGCTTTTCTATCTCACACGCAACAACAAATGCAGGAGCAGACGACCAGTGTAATGGAAACCTCAGCAGCGGTAGGTCTCGACATACACAAAGGGAAAAGCAACATTCTCCGATACAACACAGCATACACCAATCCAGTCACAATTGATGGAGAAGATGTAAAAACCTTTACATATCTGGACAGCACCATTGATGAATACGGTTACTCTGATGCAGATGTGAAGGCGCGAATCGACAAAGCAAAAGCAGCATATAAAACTGAAGAACGTCTGGATCTCAAAGCAATTGTTAACCAACATTAAAGTCAGAATTTTCAATACAAATATCAAAACAGTTCTACTGAATGAAGTGGAAACCTGGAGAACTACGAAAGCCATCATCCAGAAGATACAAGTGTTTATTAACAGCTGTCTATGCAAAATACTTCGGATCCGTTAACCAGACACTAATGACAACAACCTACTATGTGAGAGAACAAACCAGATCCCAGTGGAGGAATAAATCAGGAAGTGTTGAAAGCGGATAGGTCACACACTGATGGAAGCACCCAACTGCATCACAAAGCAAGCCCTCATTCGAAATCCTCAAGGTCAAAGGAGAAGAAGAAGTCTAAAGAATACATTATGCTGAGAAATGGAAACAGACATGAGAAGAATGAACAACAACTGAATAAAACTAGAAATGAAGGCCCATGACAGAGTGGGTTGGAGAATGCTGGTCGGCAGCCTATTCTCCATTGGGAGTAATAGGCGTAAGTAAGTATGTAATGAATCTTTAAATGATTGGAGGTAACTAATAAAAGAAAATTGAAGTTAATTGATATTTAGTAAAATTAGATAATGGTAAGAAATGAAATCTAAGACAAGTATTTCATTCTATTATAGGACTCTTTAGATGGACTGCCTTTCATTTCTGTGTGTAAATATTAGCACTGGGATTCAGGTAAATCCAGACGATGGGTTTTAAATAGGACGAAACGTGTGAAGGTTAAAAAGGTCGAAGAAAAGAGGATGAAAACAAAGAATGATTGGTTCGGAAACAAAAGAACAATGAAGTCTAAGGCGATTGATTGACATAGTGCAAATGAAGTATTTACTATATGGTTCTCAGATTTTACTAAGGTGTTCTGTAATTTACATTCAAATATATTCGATTGTCCCCACTCGTGTGTTGACGTCCACTACGCTATTAGCCTCATAGATTGATTTAAACTCTACAGTTTACACATAGTACTCAACTAATTTATGAACATACCTTATACTAAATACATCTTCATATTAAGTACTGAATAAGAGAAGAAAAACATAGAAATGATTCTCGCCATTAATAATTGTAAAACATCTTGATAACTAGAGAATATCTAGTAACTAGTTCATATTTTATTCGAGACTCCCTTAGTAATGACCGCTTACAACCTTAGATGGTCTATATATATCATGATAAGTATGGTATATATTCAGATTACTTAACTGTTCATTGGTTTTCCTCCCCTGTGAATGGTCTAAAATGCTTTTTATCCTTAAAAAAACGGTTCTACGTTATTATGATGTAAAAACTGCAAAATCTCCTAATTTTCAACATCTCGTTTACTACGCACACAAAAAAGGACGCATTCATTGCCTGGTAGTAACTAAGTGCTCCTAGTGAAAAGCCCAATGGTTGATGAAGTTCTACCATCTTGGATATGCGATCAATATTATGTGTTCATATATGATGGTTGTTCAATAATATGAAATTAGAAATGTTAACCATTAAATGAAATAGTTAGCAATCTAAAGGTCAAGCTTTCACTGTGGGTTCCTTATGTTCTACATTCAAGACCAGATTAAGTATTGTCAGCTCACTACTTAGGAGTCTCAGTCTAAGACAACGTAATGATTTCTGACTTGGAATAGTTTTTGCAGTTAATAATAATAATAATAATTCATTATAAGTGTTTTTTTCACAGGTAAAATAACGAGTCGATCTAAGCTAGATCATCATTGAAAACCTGAAAGAACTAAACGCGACTCCTCAGTCCCGTACAAGACTTGAACCCAGAACCTCCGGTGTCAAATGTAAGCGCTTAACCTATAGACTACTTAACTAGATCACCATTAAAAACCCGAGTTGTCTTTTCATCTCGGCATGGGGCTCTTCAGTGGCACCTATCCATAATCCCCCATAGGGGGTTCGAACCCAAAACCTTCGTTCTCGCATTTAAACGCTTAACCCATAGACAACCACCTAATTGTCATTCAATGATGTTAATATCTAAGTTCATTTACACTTTACTTACTTGACAAATATGCATTAAACTAAGTGTTGGCAATGATTGTTTCAATAATAATTCACATTCTTTATCTATTAATTCACATATAATAATTTGAGTTGTATCAGGTATTGGTGTAATACTTTTTAATTGAATTGATGTTTTCACTTCATATTCTTGTAATTCATAGAATTCTGTTTGTGAAATTAATTCATTTATCCATAAATAGTCTTCTTCATCGTCGTCGTCGATGTTGTCATCGTCGTCTTCTTCTTCATGTTCATGATGAAATGAACTGGAATTTCCCGCCATATTCTTGAAACATTGAATCCATACTTGTTTAAATGAATGTAATTTATTTAAAATAATTGTGATTTGTTTTAATAATTTATTTGACCATAATCTCATTAATTCTATATGATAATTATAATTTGAATAAGTAGTAGTAGTAGTATTAGTAGTAGTATCTATTGAATAGGTTATATCTTTTATAAGTATCCATTCTTCTAATGTTTTTTTTATATCTATGATAAATGAATGAATAGTTTGACGATGTATAGTTGATGTGAATGATGCTAATGTTGTTGTCGATGATGATGATGATGATGAATCTGGTTGTCTAAATGAATTGGATTCTTGATTTAAACCACATCTTATACGATTACTACTATTAGTAGTAGTAGTAGTATTAGTAGTATTAGTAGTGGTAGTAGTAGTCATAGTAATAGTGGTAGTAGTAGTAGTAGTAGTAGTAGTAGTAGTAGTAGTAGTAGTAGTAGTAGTACTATTAGTAGTATTGTTAGTAGTATGATATTGATGAATACAATTCATATTTATATGATTAAAATTTGTCATAATTGGTGTAGTCATTGTAATTGGAGTTGAACATGATGATATTGAATGATGATCATGATCATGATCATGATGATAATAACCATACGATGATTTTTGTGGTAGATTTAAACGTGTTGCATAATGATTATGATTATGATGATGATGATGTAATGTGGATGGTTGGTCATCGTAGGTTAACATGGATGACGTATTATTACTACTCGTATTACTATGAAATGGTAAATAAGATGTAACGATATTCTCTATTGGTTTATTCATTGAATGAGTTGATATAGATCTTCTTGTATAAATAGGCTGATTATATAGTTTTGAATAGTGTATATTCGATGTATTCAATGTATTCTCGTATGGTTCATAATATGATTGAGGTAAAGGATTCATATTATCATTTAAAGTGGTCATATATTGACTAGTTGTTGGGATATATACATTTGATAAATTGATTGGATCTGATCTATTGTAATGATCAGTGAATGTAGAATTTAATATAAAATTATTAGTAGTATCATTAGTAGTAGTATTAATAGGAGTAGTAGGAGTAAGGGTAGGAGGAATAGGATTAGTTACTGTTCCATGAAGATAAGCGGTAGCAGCGGCAGCAACTGCTGCAGCTGCAATAACTGGATAAGATGAATATGGTGTTGTTGAACATAAATAAGTTTGTGTATTAGCTCGTGCACGTTGAACAGCTAAATAATAAATAAATTGAAAACAATATGGTTAATACAATTAAAAATGATTTTTCTTAAAATAGATAGATACGTTTTCTAAACTAATAATAATCAACGGGAAACCAGATTTTAGAATCGTTAATGGTTACCGGTTTGCCCCAAAATGCCCTGGTACGGTCGAGAGTGGGAAGAGTCAACTCTCCCTCTCTAAATGCTCTCGCATGGCCACTGCTAGAGAAGTCCTACCCACTGCACTCTCGTGGTGAGGGTGTTGTCTACGAACTTGAGAGGACTAGAAGTAAATGTCCGACGCCTTAATCGGGCTAGTAGATATGGAGGATCCACATAGGGGAGTTGAGAAACCCTGATTTTAAACCAATATCGCACCTGGGCTACAGGATCCCGAAGGAACAAATGGCCTATGAACCAATTATTGATCATCGGCTACCATGGGACTGCATCTTTTTACGTTCCTCCACTGCCTCATGGAATAGAACTTCGGGTTAAACGCTTTCGGTGTGAACCCCTGATTCCGTTTGGACACCCGAGCAGTATGCTAGCCCTCACATAAATCGAATGATTTACCCACGAAATTGAGCGACACTTCCACCATCATCTTCAGTAATAATAACCAATAGGAAATCAGATTTTGTAATCATTAATGGTTATCAGTTTTAGAAATTTATGAAGATTGAGTCAATCTAATCTAAAGAATCATTAAACATCCTGGAAGCACTAGAAGTAACTGTTTGTTTCAATTTGGTGTTCATCTTATTGTGCTAATGAAGTATGGTAACTTGGACCGATAGATCTCTCGCATTTTAGATATAACTTAGTCATTTCACTACTGAATCTGAATTCGATAATTACCAAATATTTCTACTTGAATTAAGCACTTATGATGTTACCCAGAAGAACAATTCTGCAGGTCAAAGAGGGTACTATACAAAAAGGATCATGTTTGTCTAAGTCTTCATAACTGATCGAATTCTATCGATTAAATAATGTAACTCAATGACACCGTCTCAAATTGTGAAGTTGGATGACATAAATTTGAACTATACAACCATCATCGATTTCTTTAAAATTATCCATAAATTTTCCTATTGACTACCTCAAATTGTTTCATATTATTAATATCACTAATCAATTTAAGTTCGACAATCGTTGAAAACCTAGAAGCATTAGATAACCGTTTTGTCTTAATACAGGACTGAGATGGTTGGGTCACGTGTTGCGTATGCCTGAACACCGATTACCACAACGCGCAATACTGACTAGTGTTGGGAATGGTTGGAAGAAAGTTAGGGGCAGCCAAACCAAAACTTGGCATCAGTGCTTGAAGTCACTAGCTTCTAGTCTGAGCCATGTTGGAAGATGCAGACTACTTGGTTGTGGTCCGCGTGACTATCGTAACCGATGTTTGGAGACTCTTGGTGACATGACTCGGAATCGATCACAGTGACGTTGGTGTATACACTCTGTCTTCCCTTAAACTATAAGATTAAAATCACTTCATATCTTTCTTTCTGTGAACTAAATCTTTCTTCCTGTACTACATCCTTATATGCAATCTTTCTTTTACATATTAACACCATTGACTTAACCACTCCTATGAATCCGGTGTTCATCTTGTTGTGTTCATGAGTTATGGCAAGTTGGACCGATGCATATATGTGCCTGGTCCTACGTTGTATCTGACTGACTGACTGACTGACTGAGTCCCATCCACTAATTTTCAACCAGGAATTGAATCCATTTTAAGGTTACTACTCATTAAATGAAGGATTATAAATCAATTGTTAATCAATAAAGACAATAATAATAATCATGAATTTATTATCATAACGGTTTCATAAATCTTCTCAATTAAACTCTACACTGAATGAAGATTAAGATTATTCGATTAAATAATCTCTAGATATACATAAATAATCGACAGTTTACTTACCCTATGCAAACAAACAACAAATATTACATATGTACACATAACCATATGCATTTATGCACATACAAATGTTTATACACATACACATACACACACCACGTAATCTAACAAAAGTGACATAAACTCATGTTAGCAAGAAGCCGAAAGGAAATATCTACTTCCCTTAATATCACTTATCCTCCTCCCCCCTCCCCTGAAAACACACATTTTATTTACATGCTCATTCTCATTCTAGATTGGTTACTATGGCAATTGGATGGATGAGAAAAAATATGCCACACGAATAGTAATAATTTTTCTCTATTTTGTTTTTTTAATGATCAGGGTTTAATTCACACCGCTTAAAACAGTTAGGTAACTATCTCTCTGTCTATTCACTCATACACATGTGGAGTATATTTTTCAAAAAAAATTTTTTGTCCATGGAAATTCCTACTTTTAATTTTATTGTTTTATATAAAACGAATTTTCTAAGTAAACTTTGATAGTAGATGGTGGTTGGAGGTAGTCGACAGGAAACCCTGGACCCAGGTTTCGTGCTACTTAGCACTCGTCAGCAAGGTGTACCTGTAATCTTGAGGGAACTGGTACTCCCTGGCGGATTCGATCTCGTGTCACCCAGCTTCACAGTCAGAGACGTTACCACTGAGCTATCCGAACCGTGACCGACCTCCTGTAGGACTGAGATGTAATCACAATTCATTGATCACTGTGTGGCGATCAATGTCATGTGTGTCTAGTCCTTATTAATGCAGATCGAATGCTATCGAACATGTTGCAATGTGGCCACCAGTCTAGATGACTTGACACTGCGTGCACTACATATTGAGATTAGATGGTGGTTGGAGGTAGTCGACAGGAAACCCTGGACCCGGGTTATAAACAGAGATGGATGTTGGCTAGTAGTGGAATCCAGGACACGTGTTTTGTTCTTATTTGGAACTTGCATCCTAAAATTGTTGATGTTCACTCTGGGACTCGAACCTAGCACTGTTGGCTTTAAACGCTTATAATGCTAGTGACTTCAGGTAATATTGAAACAGTCAGCACAGGATGTATATATATATATATATATATATATATATATATATCAAAAGAGACTGATCAATTGTAGTTATAAACATCAACGGGAAGATTCAGATAAACGATATAAAAATGAATTGAGGTTTGATAGTGATTAGTAGTCAAATATACGACATGCGTTTCATCGTATCTGAGACTCGTCATCTGGATGTACCGGACGATTACATAGGAACTCGACCCCAACACTTTTACTTTCAAACATCCAACTCGTTATCCACTCAGATAACCATCAGGCTGAACTATTGGTGTCAATATCTTGTTACTTAGTAGTTATACGTTAAGAATATATACACCAATAATCAGTAAATTAGTTCAAAGAGTTACCATTTCTTCAATCTTGTCTTATGTATCACAATATATCAAGGTATCCATTAAATTATGGTTATATCCTGACTACAACAAATGACATCTGCTGATAATTACATAATATTGAGGGATTCATGGAGATTGTAGAACTTTTAGAAGTCAAATCACTAAGTAATTTTAGTAAGATTACCATTGAAAACCCGGGAACACTAAAAGACTATTTCGTCCTTACATGGGATTTCTCAACACGACACCACTACAGAGATTTAAACCCAGAATATTCAGTTATGAACAGGAACACTTGACTGGTAGACCACTAAGCCAGCTTCCAATGGTGTTAGTATCTAACTTCAATCAATTCATGATTTTGTGGGACTGCCTCCCATTGGCTGTAGTTGATAACTGTTTGACTATCCTTGTGGTGGTGTAGTGGGCGGGCAGTGTCTCTTAGAAATCGCAAACTAAAATGAAATAGCTGTTCAGTGCACTTTGCGTTTCTATGGTGTTCTAAATAAGATCAACTAGTGACATAATCTGTGAAACTTCTACTCATTACAGCCCCCTTACTTCAACGCTTGTTCCTATGTTAAAAAAGCACGTCATACTCTATGTTTGTTAATGGGAGACTATAGTTTACAAAAAGAATAAAAGATATCTAACCTGAATATACAGTCGGACACTAAACTAGTTGTATCCTGTCAATGTTCACTAAATTCTAAATTCACATTCCCATGTATAAACTATTCATGAATTTAGTAACCTGAACAAACCAATATACTAAACATTCATTATATGTTTATTAGTGACTGACTTTGAAAGTGAATCCCCTGTAATTCAATTATGTAGTTCTTATTAGAGAAGTTCAACTACGCCGAAGATGAGACAATTATCATCATTCTTATTAAATAATGATCGCATAATACCTGGAAGTGATTGATTTAGACATGTGAACAACTAGATATCAACTCAGTGGTCTGTAGGCTAAACACTATTGTCATGAGACTTGAATATTGTTAATTCAGTTTATTGAGAAGTAGTGTATATACACCAACAAGGAGTTTCACCAGTAGAATGAAACAACACTATTCAACGTCGTCTAACTAAAGTCAATCAGTGATGTAAAATATAATTTCATGATTAAACTAACTTCATATTCTTATGTACAAATATCGATCCTTTTTTAATAGTTGAGATCATGAGTCAATTGAAGCTAGATCACGATTATATTCATCAACATATGCTCACTAATGACGGTCTCCAAGAGGTATTTCATGGAATTCTAGTGAAAAGTAGTGACCAGTGGAGTTCAACTGGGTCTTTACTGAGACAGAAACTCACTAAAGACAATGGTGAATGTGTCGCTTATAGATTAGTTGAAGTTAGACATTAACACAACTAGATGCCGACCGGCTCAGTGGTCTAATGGTTAAGCGCTCGCGCGTGAGACTGATAGGTCGTGGGTTAGAATCTCGCGAGGCAGGGTCGTGCATGCGTACTGACGAAGAGTCCCACAAGAGAACGAAACGGCCGTCTAGTGCTTCCAGATTTTTCATAGTGATCTAGCTTTAATTGACTCATGATTTCACCTATTAAAACATTACTATACTATCCACAAAATCCCTTCAAATATGGATTCATTATCCGATTCACTATGCCTCAGGTCATATACATTAACTTAAAA